TAGAAAAAGTTCAATTAATCTTTATGTAAAAGCCAAATACATGTTTGACCAATGCCTGTCATGGAAATTACATGATAACCAAGTTGTTCAAGTTTATCAAGAACAATACGTGCACAATCATCTGTACGATATTCAGAACTAAAATAAACGAATAGTTATAACAGATTGATATAAGGAACGGATCAAAAGTTTCTAGACAAAATATGTGGTTGTATATCTCATCGCCGAAATAGAGATCATTGAGATGAAGTGCATCAGAATGAAGATCGTCGAACACCTTTCGATTATCTATGTTCATGAGTTTCATTTTGGCGATCATTCCTTACGTTCACTCTTTCTGAATAATTATCGTATACATAGCATCTATTCAACTATGATATGTGAATTACGGTATGGCCTTTATTAATTACCTACTCGAGTTAGTTATCAACTTGGCACATCACTATATTTACTAAGTGCAAATCATCGAATTTCGGCGAAGATAAATATTTGACTATTTTTCACGTATTTAAATGCATTAGTATCATATGAAAATTAAAAATATATTTTGTTTCAGAATATATGCTTGAAATTTTTCTGTGGCTATTGAGTTATAAATGAATTTTGAAATGACTCAGAAAATTGGTTTTTAGAGAAAGCCTCAGTAAAATTTGTTAGAGACATGTCACAGAATTTTATCGAATATATTGAAAGATAGAGGAAATAATTCTCTACAAAGTAGTAAATCTTGTAGAAAAGTAAAGGACACAACTCTGCTATCTTTTAGCAGATTAATCAAAAGTCCATTCTTCTATCATTTGGAGAGTAAGATTTTTGCCTCTCTAGATTTTTTTTTGCGTCCTATCAAGATTTACTTACATGCTCCACACTCAAGAGTCACAGAATAATTCTAACAGAGTGCAAAATTTTGATTCTAATACACTGTTTCTCACTCTTTTCCAATGCATTTAATATACGAAAAATAGTCAAATATTTTGTCTAGAAACTTTCGGTCTATTCTTTAAATAAAGAATCAATGGATTGCTATTCAGTTTTAAATTATACAAAGGAATAGTTAATAATTCAAATATTATTTTACTGAAAAAGAAGTAAAATAATTTAATTATAGTTTGACCAAATGGTTTGATTCATCTATCATACTGATAAAATATGTTTCAGAGTATGACTTCTAATTTGAATAAAAATTTTGTTTGTTTTTTGATGTAACGATGAATAAAAAAAAAAGAACAAACAACAAAAAATTACATTATCAAAGTAATTATAAACGTTTATTTAGTTTTCTTTCTTTTAAAACAAAGTTTATATTGATACCTAAAAAAAGTTTCTGTTCAATGTTTATCTGATCAATCTCAACTATACAAACTCCTTTATCACCGATAAAAAGAATCAACTAATTCCGTCAAGTTAAGATGACGATACCTATTTTCATTGTGATCAATTCACTATTGGTCTATTATAGTAGTGGAGAATAGTCTCCTTCCTCGAGGATATCAGTCATTATAAATGTTAGAATCTTGGAAATTTTTGTGCATATACTTAGTCAAGAGTGAAGGCCACAGACGCAATTCTGTTTCGATAGCTGAAGTACAAAAAGAGTTATGATGAATGACACCTTTTTTTTGCATGAAACTTTTTAATCTGACAATGACTGTCTACCCAATTTTGCACTACTTTTTTATCAGATACATAATTAATTCTTGATGTTTTCGAATAGAATTAAAGTTTAATCTATGGTCATTCTTTATCCAAAAGATGAGTTCGTTAGCTTAAATATTGGCATCTCTAGATGTTTCTGAATCTTCCATCTCATCAACACAATGGGTAAAGCTATATCATTTTCGATCAGTACATAGTTTGTTTATGAAACTTGTAAGCACTAACGTCCAACTGTAGAAGTAGTTTTTCTAAGAGTTTGAGCTTTATTCACTGGATTACTACTGCATTCTCGTCTAAAAAAGATACCAGATGATTTATCTTCACATCAACAGACACAGTATCAGAGAGGGTTGATGAACTTCAATGAAATTAATTGTGAGAATAGCTCGGATGCAACGCTACATAATGAGTCATGAACTGATTTAGAAAGTTCATCTGTTCCAAAGCTATGAAGTACAATGGCGATATAGGTCTTATCCATTGTCATTTATCATTATTCTTCATCTACTTAAGTAATTGAAGCGGAATTATATCTCTGACGTCAGTTACACTCTTGATGAAGCACGTATGC